AATACCGCCGTCCAGGGGCTGGCCATTTTCATGGCCGCCTATCTTTCGCAGCTCAATTGCTATAAAGTCTACGATGAGTTATACAAACCAACGGTACGGCGTTTAACCTTAACCGGGACGATCAGCGCGTCGTTGTGCTTTACCCTCTATTCCCTCGCGGGGCTGTTTGGTTATCTCGACTTCGGCGCCGCGGTGACCGGGAGCGCGTTAAAGCTTTACAATCCCATTAAAGAGCCCTTTATGGGGGTTTCCTACGCCTTTGTGATGCTGAAATTGTGTGTGGGGTACGGGCTAAATATGATCCCCGTGCGCGAGGCGATCTACCACGTGGCTAAGGTCGATACCAAGACGATTATATGGTGGAAACATGGCTTGATTGTGAGTTTTATGGCCACCTTGTCCCTCTTCGGCGGGCTTTTCCTTCCGCGCGTCAATACGGCCTTAGGGCTTGTTGGAGGATTCTCCGGAGGGTTCATCTCGTATATCTTTCCCGCCTTGATGTACATGTACTCAGGGAATTGGACACTGCAAAAGGTGGGATGGTTTCACTTTCTGATGACCTACATTCTGCTCATCTGCGGCGTCGTCGGCGTCGTCTTCGGCACGATCTCTACTATCTATGGTGAGTTTACTGCTTAAGACTAAATGGTTTTATTTGGCGTTTATTTATATTCTTAAAAAAGGATAACAACAACAATAATAATAATAATAATAATAATAATAATGATAATAATAATGATGAGGCATAGTTTCAAGGGATCGTATTCACGGAATATATACATTTTAATATAAATATATATATATATATATTTATTTATATATTTATTCATATATATATATATTTATATTATTTCCATATAAGATTTTTAATCTTATCAATTTATTTCAATTTAGAATCCAAAGAGTAGGTATCTATACACAAATCGCATTTGTTTTGTAACTTAGCCTACTGGGTTATGATAAATATTTTGTGTAAACGACAAATACTATGGTGTTGTAGTGCCCAGACGATTTCATAGGGTTATAAAAGCGAAAAAATATGCGATATTTTTATTTAATGAATTTAGAAAATTATTATTACGTCTTATCACTTCAATATATCGTGCTTTAATGCAATCGTCTGAAAGATTAATTTAGTGAATATTTTATTTTCACGTAATATCAATTGATATTTTATTTAAAGCCTAACTTTCTTTTGTTGTATCCATGATACTTTAGAAACTGAAGCTATTTTCGGCTCGCTTTTTTCATTTTGTTATTTTTATTTGATAATTTCTGTGCAGTTTTACATTTCTTTCGTAATTTATTATCTGTATGTTTGATCCTTTTTTACCATATGTTAATATGAAAATAAATTATCCTTGTTGTAAAAAGTAATTCTTCTTCCTAAACATACTTCAAATAGGTCCGTATTCATTATGTTCGCATTTTATCTACTTCATGATATTCGTACTTTTTTAAGTATTTCATTTTTTCCAAATTTTCATTATTGTCATCTGGGGTTCTGATGCGATACTTTTACATTATGTACTTAGTCTCTATTTATGCTAGGAATACAAAATAGGTTAACACGTGAGCGCTAGGTTCAAAAAGGCGTTTGTATTGGTTAGTATCCCCTTTTATCTTTTTTTTTCACTTTATCTGAACTTGCATGATCAAGGCTTAAATTATCTATGACTGAAAGTTTTCACATGGATCATACTATCCAATACGAAGCTTACTGAGGTATAATATGGATAGTACTTCTTTTTATTTCTGATAGTAACGGCATTTTGAGAATCCATTGGATAAATTTTCTAGTTATTGGCAGGTGTGT